GGCAAGTGCTGTGGCGGCCACACAAACTTACCCGGGGTGTAATTATGCAAAATCAGTTGGGAGGGGAGGGCTGCCCAGCAGCCAATCGCCAGACATTGTAAAAAATGCAGAGCGCGTTTCTCACTCCTTTGTTTCCTAAACTGAGGTGGCCGGAACGGGAAACAGAAAATGGGCGAATAGAACGTGAATGGGAAGCTAGACCACAGCCCGGTTGTGGTACTTCTGCATTGGCGGCTGCTCGCTGCCGCAGCTCTATCGCGCGCGCGTTTGTCAGTATTCCCCGCCAGCTGATACCAGGGTGGGCACCCGCAGAAGGCACGCGTGCTCTAGCTAAAGCTGATAGGTGCTCTTGGGTAACTATATGTAAACCATCCTTACTATCACCGCGGCAGATAGGCCGCTTCAACGAATCGAGAATGGACACAGTATGTTTGGGCTGGGTAACATCAGCTGCCAGAAGTCCAACGCGAATGCTCTGCCTGAATTTCTGCACGCTCCTTTTTATTCATACGAGAGCAATACTTATATATGACAAGCATCGATGCACCTAAAAGTTATCATGACAATGAGCTTGAAATAGGCAAGGAAAGCCTTGCGCTTCCTAGTTTCACTTTAGAGAAGAATGAAATATCTTCAAACCTAGTTCTTCGGCATTATGAGTTAAAAGTTCTTACGTTGAGTTACCGGCCTACATACCAGGAGGTACTGGCTTAACAACATTGCGATACCGAATAACCATTAAATTGAAGGACTTGAATATTTCGAGTCAAGCCCATCCTCAACAGATGAGCTCTTGCTCATCCTGAGGTCAAGCCGATCTTGACGCCTTCACTACGGCCGATATAATCGCTATTCACATTACAACGCGCCGGGGCAAAATAGCGTACGCTTCAACGCGAAGCAACGTTGCATTAACGTGGTGCTGCCGGCGCGATCCGGTGCTATCATGAAATAGGTGCAATGATCTCTGGAGTTCGTCATCGCTTGTAGCATCGCTGTCATCGAGCACGTGACTGTTGTTCGATGCAGACAGCAGTGAGTCACAATCAGCGTCCTGGTGGACCCAGCTGGCAGCGAGATGCATAGCTGACGTAATTATTCTTGTCATGAAATTTCATCTTCACACGACAGATAACATTTCGGAAAACTTGATGGGCATGTCTTGCCATAGGAGATAAGAGTTCGGAAAACTTGATGGGCATGTCTTGTCATTGCTCCATTTCTGAGCAGCAGTCGCAGACGCTTTGGTATTACCACTGACCTCTCGCCGCTGCAGGTGCTCACGAGGTATTACCACTGAGCTCTCGCCGCTGCAGTGCTCACGAGGTATTACCACTGAGCTCTCGCCGCTGCAGTGCTCACGAGGTATTACCACTGAGCTCTCGTCGCTGCGGTGCTCACGAGGTATTACCACTGAGCTCTCGCCGCTGCAGTGCTCACGAGGTATTACCACTGAGCTCTCGTCGCTGCGGTGCTCACGAGGTATTACCACTGAGCTCTCGTCGCTGCGGTGCTCCACGAGGTATTACCACTGAGCTCTCGCCGCTGCGGTGCCCACGAGGTATTACCACTGAGCTCTCGTCGCTGCGGTGCCCACGAGATATTACCACTGAGCTCTCGCCGCTGCGGTGCCCACGAGGTATTACCACTGAGCTCTCGTCGCTGCGGTGCTCACGAGGTATTACCACTGAGCTCTCGCCGCTGCGGTGCCACGAGGTATTACCACTGAGCTCTCGTCCGCTGCGGTGCCCACGAGGTATTACCACTGAGCTCTCGTCGCTGCGGTGCCCTTGAGGCGCAGTACAGCAGCCTTCGTGAGACGGGCGGCTTCCTCACATTTGCTGTAGACAGGCCTCGCCCCACCCCACCCTGCTCCAACATGCTATCTGAGCATGCTAAAGCGAAACCGGCAACGGCATCGGGCAGCCCTCGTAAAACTGCATCCGTTTTGTAACGTTGAATGTCCGTGGCAGCAGTCTGTTAACAGGCCTGTGTGTTAACGGGCCAACAGTCTGTGTACGGTCGCTGTAGTAAAGTAACATTTACTGAAATTTACGCCCTTCTCTATCTCTGAGCTGTGTGGTGCGGCAGCGAGGAAAGCAGCGTTGCATGGCCATTCATTCGAACTTCAGTCATACACCCATGTCAGGTAGTGATCCCCCATGAGATCGTTACGCGGCACCCGCAGCTGTCTGCCTGGTGGTGACAGCATGGCCATTCATTCGAACGTCAGTCATACGCCCATGTCAGGTAGTGATCCATGGGATCGTTACGCGGCACCCGCAGCTGCCTGCCTGGTGGTGACAGCATGCTGGTGAAAGGTGTAAGACGTAATTTGCTCAACTTATAGAGAGTCGCGACCGAGGACCGAGGCGCGGCCGCGCTGGCCACATCCAGTAAAGTTGGTGCAGCGCTTCTCAGGCGCACTTCAATTGACAACGTCATCAAGTCTTGAAACCTGGGTTCGTCACCCAGCGTATCAACAAAAGGACATGGACAACATCCTTAGTGTAGGCACAATTACATCGCGATAACTGGTAACGTAACAGGACATTCCGTGTTGCGTGAATGCTGCGCTGCTGCGGGGGGAGGGGGAGGGGAGAAATCGCACGTCAAATCAGGTGTGCGCTTTGTTATCTTAAGGTTGGATGTAATGTCACCGGATTTTTAATGTACGTTATCACTGTGTGACCCTGTGTGGAAATGCTGGGATGAAATATTGCGGATATAACAATGGCAAGGTTATGCGAGTCGTGCCTGTGCTTAAGCCTCTTGGAACACTATGTCTCACATGTTAGGAGAGTTTGACATTCCCAGTCAAGTTTGCATGCCCCTCGCTGCGGCAGGCTTTAAACTCCAGCTTCAGGCGCAGCGGAAGAAAGAAACCAACGTTGTTCTCGCGCAGGGCACTCCCATTCGGGCAGCGCCCAGTCCGTCAGCCGCTGCCTTTAGAGGGAGATGCGGGGCGTCACACCTGCGCCAGAAACAGCCAGGATAACGATCTCCGGGTGTGTGCATACGGGCCTTAGAACGGGTCCGTAGCACGTAGCGGGGCGGCTGTGGTATTCGTTACGTATCATGTCACGTGACCGGCGTTCACGGACCCTGTCCCGTTCCTCACGAGGTAAATATGCCGCCCACAGCAGCGACACTAACGACACCGCGAAGCGTTTGCCAGACTGCCTCAAATACCAGCTGACGCGCGCTGAGTATCGTCAGATGCCAGCTGACGCGCCCTGAGACTCGGCAAATGTCAGCTAACGCACCCTGAGACTCGGCAAATGCCAGCTGACGCGCCCTGAGACTCGTCAGATGTCAGCTGACACGCCCCGGGACTCGTCAGATGTCAGCTAACGCACCCTGAGACTCGTCAAACGCCAGCTGACGCGCCTTGAGACTCGTCAAATGCCAGCTGATGTGCCCTGAGACTCGTCAAAAGCCAGCTGACGCGCCCCGATACTCGTCAAATCAGGTCAAACCAAGGTCAAACCAAGGTCAAACGGAGCTCACCAGGTATTTCCCAACGGGGCCCATTTGGCGCAGCCGGACCTTCAGTGGTCCTTCAGACCACTAACACGCCCCATCAATGGCGTGTTGGAGAATTACATTGCCGCTTAGCGTAATGTACGTGTAGATACTTGTGCTGGATGGACTCATCTCGGACTCGTTGATTACCAATAAATATACGCTGGTGCGTTATAATGAACATCCTATGCCAAACGCACGCTGTCGATCGTCACCATCAAACTCGGTCGACATCACATAGAGGAGTCTCCGATGCTATCTATCGGAGGAGGGTTCTTCAAATAAAATGACACCGGAAACTGGATGCTCAGGAATGAAAAAAAAAATTTATTATATCTAGCGGTTCATTGCTCCAGAAAAAAAAACATAGAGGCGTAGTGGCCTTCCAGGCTCCTCGACCATCGGCATTTATTGAGGAATACGATGTGCGCTGCGCCAAGTGTAAGTGATGCAAGCTGCACTTGGCAGGCGATATTCACCGCGCCCAGGCTCCTCGACCATCGGCGGCTATTAAGGAATACGATGTGCGCTGCGCCACGTGTAAGTGATGCAAGCTACACTTGGCAAGTGGTATTCACCGCGCCCAGGCTCCTCGACCATCGGCGGCTATTGAGGAGTACGATGTGCGCTGTGCCATGTGTAAGTGATGCAAGCCGCACTTGGCAGGTGGCATTCACCCCGCTCGGTTCTGCCGCGCAAAGTGCCATCTCGGACTCGAAATTTTTGGGGCACACGGCTTAGTTACAGCTGGAGGCATTCACTCTAACTAATATAATCAACTGTACTCGGACTGTGTGTAGCGTTGCGTTATTGTTTTCCTTGTTCCAGTTATGACGCCTATATAGTTGAAACCCTAACACCATCCAGTTCTTCTCAGGACCGAACATCTGACGCCGGCCAGAGTCAGCTGACCGAGGCGGCGCGTCAACATCTGACACCGGCCGGAGGTCAGCTGACCGAGGCGGCGCGTCAACATCTGACGCCGGCCGGAGTCACCTGACCGAGGCGGCGCGTCAACATCTGACGCCCGCCGGAGTCAGCTGGCCGAGGCGGCACGTCAACATCTGACGCCGGTCGGAGTCAGCTGGCCGAGGCGGCGCGTCAACATCTGACGCCGGCCGGAGTCAGCTGACCGAGCGGCGCGTCAACATCTGACGCCCGCCGGAGCCAGCTGACCGAGGCGGCGCGTCAACATCTGACGCCGGCCGGAGTCAGCTGACCGAGGCGGCGCGTCAACATCTGACGCCGGCCGGAGTCAGCTGGCCGAGGCGGCGCGTCCGTTCCAACACGCCGGACGGGACCCATAGTCCGAACAACCGCTCCATCCCAAGTACTCATACCAAGTCTGCATGATTACTTGTCAAACCGAAGACATTCGCGGTGTGCTCACCAACTGTCGGTCCCGGCAGACGCTCGTAGGGCCGCAGTCGCAGATGGTCCAAAGCCCGAACACGGCGGCGGCAAGGCGACAGCTGTCATGGTCGATACGTTTATTTGCACATAAAATAATCTATCCCAGGGCAGACAAAATATATATCATTTGATACGCGTCATTACCGTTTTGGCAGCCGATCAGCCTATACGACGGTGTCCAACCGTGCGGCCCAGCTCGCGCGGCTCCCTGCGACACCCAGACGGACAGAACACGCTTGCCCTTCACACGCAGGGCAGGGACGGGACGGTATACGCCCACCCAATCACAGTAACCCCAGCATCCACCAGCAGCTCCCCTACAGAAACCCAGCCGGCCTAAAACAACGCCGGCCCCCATAGCAACAAACGGAGCGCCAGGTCCCCCGCGGCTGATAGCGCGCCGTATCGTAACGCACCGCCACTGCGCAAACACCAACGCCGTGTATAGGAGATAACACACCCCGCCGTGAGTATCGCTGCCCCGGCGTCAGCACCCCGGGTATATGACAATTGAGCTGGAGGCAGGCCACCCTACGGGCCCCAGAAGACCCCTCAGCTGATGGCGAGCGCAGGTCATGATCCGGGCAGGTACGTGCGTGCAGGTAACTGAATCAGCGGGTCTGGAGCGCGCGTGAACCGAAGCCGCGCGCCGATACGTACCGCTGCCAGCTCGGCCCCGATAACCTGGCTCGGTCGCGATAATCTGGACAGAACCCCGAACATGTCAGGTGCGCGCGGCACGGCGGCAGGTACAGCAGCACACAGCTGGATCGGGCGTCCAATCCAACGGCGTCTCTGGCTTTTGCGGTCCCGCGGGCTCACGGGCCAGTCGGTGGTTAGCTCCCGGAGCGTGACAGGCAGCGCGGGCCGGGCCAGTGTCGAGCGGACATCGGCCGCGCGGCCCGTGAAGTCCCCGGCGGATAACTGTGGTGGCAGAGATTGGGAAGGGGGCCGTTTTGGAGGGCCGAACACAAATAGCACGCGGATCTCACCCCCAAACCTTCGCATTTGCAAAAAAATATCGTGAGCCACAAGGAACTAATGCCCAACATTCTGGCGGCGCTGGCAGATAGGCTTCTCAAAAGCGTAGCGACGTGCGAAAGCAGGGCGGCGGGCTCAGCTTTCTGCTATTGTCCTGGGCGGTCGAAGCGCTACATAAAGACGTCCGAGTTCGCGTGTCTCATCAGATCACCCAGCAGCCAGCAGCGTCATTATGGTTACAGGCGAATCAAGCGAAATCTTGCTTCTCACCATGAGTGAAGTTCCTAACCTAGTCGAGTCCCATAACGGGCATCAGGCACTCTCGACCCGACCTACAAATTCCAAGCCCTAGTATCACATGGCAAACCAGCCGGTCTCCCAAATCATCCTCTGCAGCCCAGCCCCAGCAGGCGCTGATTGCAGCAGCTCCGCCCAGATCGGGCATCCCCGGGAAAGCCAGCGCCAGCGCCGCGCGAGACGGCGGCGCGGCGACCACCGCCCGGCCGGCCGCCCGCCAATCACTGGCGGCCTCGCTGACGGCGCTGAGCCAGCGCACCACGCCCCATGGGCCGTCAGTATCACTAGCCGCCCATAACCCCCGTGGTGACGGCATTCCCAGATGGCCTGCCGCGCGGCGCCGCGGCCACTCCCGTCTCCGTTTCACCTGCCACTAGCTACACATAACCCCCGGAGCGTGTCTCTGCCAGCCGGCCGGCGGCAAGCAGGTCCGCCTGCTACGCCTAACCGCTGAGCGGCGGCCCTAGCTGCCGACGCCGCCGAACATCAGCCGGCAGTTGTCGGCGTTCTGCTGGTTCAGAGCGAACGTGGCGCCGCCCCAGCGGCGGGCGCGCCGGCGCACGCGGCGGAGTCGGTGTCGGCTGCCGGGCACGCGCTCCTGCTTGCGCACCACCTCCCTGCGGCAGGCGACGGGTCAGTGGCGGCGGCGGCACAACCAGATCGGCGGCACACGACACCGAAGGACGCACACAGCTCGCTCGTCTCGGCGAGCATAACATCCGCGCCGAACACAGGAACACGTGACTATTGGTGCCATCTCCTGACGTCGGCGGAACAAACAGTCGCGAAACGCGCGGAAGCGACCGCAAAAAGCAACGTTCACTTCAGCAACTGCCGCACCTTCCTGAGTCGACCAGAATACACACCACACTGCCGGAGAGCTCCACCCAGCGCTGAAGTGACGCCCAGTTGTTACTCGAGGTGGCGGGCAGACAGCGTCGACAACACACGAGGGCAGAAAGCGCCGACGACACACCAGGGCAGACAGCGTCGACGACACACGTGGGCAGACAGTGCCGACACAGGAAGGCAGACAGCGCCGACGACGCACGAGGGCAGACAGCGCCGACGACGCACGAGGGCAGACAGCGCTGGGACAGACACTCTGTCAATGGCCGGACACCGCGTTACCATGCTGAGCGCCCCTCACCTGAGCACCAGCGGCGCCTGTGAGATGCGCGCGCACGTCTTGGGTCCGTCCGAGAAGTCGACGTCGGTGGTGGCGTCGAGGCGCGCCTCCAGCGCCTGGCTCACCTCCATCTGCGCAGCGCACGAACGGCGTGTCGACCGTGGCCAGGCCGCGCAGCAGCACCGCACCCCTGGCGGCGCACACAGACATCAGCGATCAACGGCGCAGCGGCACCCCAGAAGTCAGGGGTCAGAGGTCAACGGCGCACCAGCACCCCACACAGAGACCAGAGGTCAGCGGTCAACGGCGCACCAGCACCCCACACAGAGACCGGAGGTCAGCGGTCAACGGCGCACCAGCACCCCACACAGAGGTCGGGGGTCTGGGGTCAGTGGTAAGAGGTCGCGGGCCGACAGAGATCTGAGGTCAGAGGTCAGAGATTACGGGTCGGGAGTCTGGGTAGTGAGGCACCGATTGCAGATCAGGTGTCGCAGAATTTTCAGACTACTCTGCTTGTCTCGCTCAGAGATAAGTTAAGCTACTACACGCAGTCAGAAATGGGAATGTCACCAGAGCCAAACGACTGTAAAACGTGAGTGCCGGACTGACATGTGCTTCTGCTTCAAAGGCGTTAAAAGGTGATCAGGTCTTATCATTACAATGCCAACCGGCCCACAGTTATTGATAACCTTGTATGTAAAGCCAAGAAAGGTGTCAGTGACCAGAACTAACAATGGAGGGCTACAACTATTGATAGCCTTGCCTGTAAAGACAAGAAAGGTGTCAGTGACGAGAACTAACAATGGAGGGCTACAACTACTGATAACCTTGCCTGTAAAGCCAAGCAAGGTGTCAGTGACGAGAACTAACAATGGAGGGCTACAACTACTGATAACCTTGCTTGTAAAGCCAAGCAAGGTGTCAGTGACCAGAACTAACAATGGAACAGAGCCAGCGGTCAAGGAAAGGATGGCGTGGTGCGAATATTGACGGCGAGGAGCAAGCAGAGAATCAAAGGATTTCGGATAAAATGGTGGTAATCATCAATAACCAAAATGGAACAGTCACAAAATGAGGAGAGTGAATACATCAGGCCACATATCGTGAAATATAACACAACAGGACATATTAGTGTCACACTAAACCAAATGTCTGTCTTTCATAAAACTTGCTTGCAGTGCTCCGGATACTTATAACCAGCTTTGGAAGCAAACGACGGATGAAGAAACACCACGGTGACAAATGGGTACACTGAGAAAAGAACCCAGCCCATGGCCCAGTCCCACGGGTGCAGGTCACGCCGACTGGCGGCACCTAACAGGTCCAACATCTCACAAGCTTCACACTGACTGGGGATTACAAAGGGTCACTTTCGTAGCACGGAGCCCCTTTGTGTCGTGAGAATCACTCCGCTTCCAGACCCGTCCTCGGCTACCCCTGACGACGACCCCCATGCTGAGACCTGACCCCCAGCAAAACCCTCCGCCTGACCTGAGAACTGACCTCAGTGGCACCCCTCCCCTGACCTGAGACCTGACGCCACCGGCACCTCTTCTCTGACCTGAGAGCTGACCGCACCGGTGCACCACCCCTGACCTCGCCCCGCGCGACACCCCTCGCCTGACCCTCCCTCCCCCCCCCCGGCACCCTCCCCGCCATCCGCCACCCACCTGTCGTCAATGACGGCGTGCGCGTTCCTGTTCCAGATGGAGACCTCGGCCTGGCCGGCGAAGTCGAAGGTGACGGCGCCCAGCACGCTCAGCTCAGCGCCCAGGCCGTTCTGCAGCGGCACACGCTGCAGGTGGTCATGCAGCAGCGCCGTGCCCTGGCGGCGCCGGCGGAGACAGCGTCAGCGGCGCGGGAGGGGGGACAGCGCTGTCTGCCTCTGTGTCCGTGCAGACGTGAGACGCCCAGTGACAGTACAGCCTCAGCTGCGCGGGAGGGGGGACAGCGCTGTCTGCCTCTGTGTCCGTGCAGACGTGAGACGCCCAGTGACAGTACAGCCTCAGCTGCGCGGGAGGGGGGACAGCGCTGTCTGCCTCTGTGTCCGTGCAGACGTGAGACGCCCAGTGACAGTACAGCCTCAGCTGCGCGGGAGGGGGGACAGCGCTGTCTGCCTCTGTGTCCGTGCAGACGTGAGACGCCCAGTGACAGTACAGCGTCAGCGGCGCGGGAGGGGGGACAGCGCTGTCTGCCTCTGTGTCCGTGCAGACGTGAGACGCCCAGTGACAGTACAGCCTCAGCTGCGCGGGAGGGGGGGACAGCGCTGTCTGCCTGTGTGTCCGTGCAGACGTGAGACGCCCAGTGACAGTACAGCCTCAGCGGCGCGGGAGGGGAGACAGCGCTGTCTGCCTCTGTGTCCGTGCAGACGTGAGACGCCCAGTGACAGCACAGCCTCAGCTGCGGTCCCCTGAGCTTCATCCCCCTGAGAGGGTAGCCCGGCGCTGGCTGCCATCCCTCCAGCGGCACCCCGCGCTCCCGAGAGCCGTCTGACCTGACCGATAGTGACCGAGGAGGCGCACAGTGTCGTCGTGACCAAGTGTCTCCCCCACTGACCACCGCGGCCCTCCTTGAGTGCCGCCTGCCGCCGGCTGTTCCCGCCTTGAGCACCCCTCCCCAGCGATCCGCCCCTCCCGCCGTCGGCCGCCAGGCCGGGCGGCGCGCCTCACCCGCAGCGCAGACGTCCGCTCGCTGCCGGTGCCGCTCCACAGCAGGCCCATCAGCTCGCCCTGGCTGTCGAAGAGCCGACGCGGCCGCAGCTGGCGGCCCAGCAGACCCAGCTCCAGCCGCGCGAACGCGTCCGCCGCGTCGTCCGGCTCCGGCGAGCCCAGCATGCCGGACAGGCCGCCGGCCTGCACCGAGAACTGGGCCACACAAACAGTGGAGACGGTCAGGTCCGGTCACGGTGCTACAGACCGCCCGTCAGATGGGGACCTGTTTCGCACGGGAGGAGACATCGCCGCCCCGGGGGGCTCAATACAGCAGCCAGCGCCTGCCGTTAGCCTGCACAGAAAACCCGCTCTGCGCGAGCATACAGACTTCACTCAGAGTGGAACGGTGGAACTCCTGCCAGCCTGCCAAAACCTAACATACTACAGCACGCCAACATGACCGAAACGACCGCCGCCCTCCACGGCAGCAGCCTCTGCGGCCACCTCTCCCTCCTCACCGTCAGCACGTCCAGCTGGTCTCCGCCGGCCGCCAGCTGGGCGCGGAAGGCGCTGCGCCGGAGCGCGCGCGACCTCCCCACCTCCAGCTCGCTGCTGAAGCCGGCTGACACGTCCCCGGCCCGGAACAGGCTGCGCTCCAGCACCGACGACAGCGCCCCTTGCGACAGCACGTCGTAGTTGCTGATGCGCGAGTCGGCCAACAGATGGCGCAGCGCGCCGCGGAGCTCGTCGTTGCGCTCGGCGGCCGCCGAGAGCCGCTGCAGCACGTAGGCGTTGACCTCGCTGACGTTGCGGTCGCGCAGGTCACGCAGCAGATGGGTGACGTCACCAGGTCGGGGCGTGGCCAGCAGGAGGTCAGCCGCCAGCAGGCGCGAGCTGGGGTCGTACCTGGGAGGCGGGGAGGGGGTGAACACACGAACGGACTCGGGTTTCGGGGATCGGCCCTGTGCTTCTGGGCCGCTGGGCGGTCCGCTCCGCCCTCGACACCGCTCACAGGGCCCTGTCAGTGTCGCCTCTCCACATGGGCTTTCAGCCCGGCCATCCTGGTGTACTCTGTAAGCCAGCACGTGACGCATACAACGGGCTAATGCGGATGAACCTCCACGGTATGATCTTTGGCCGTACTGAATGTAGCCGCCGTCCACGACACCGATAACGGCACCCGGGCGCGGTCTTTGTATCTCTAGCCCGACAGCGGTCGCCCAATGCGAACGTAATGTTTCATCCCTCACCCGCCGCCAGAGACCACCCTCTATCTGCGTAATCATCTCCCTGTCGTCAGCGCCCGCCGCCTCCACGCGTAGCGTCTCTCCCGTCGCGCCTCCGCCACTGACCGGTCCGTCTCGGCGTAGAGCCGCTCCAGCTGGGGCCGCAGCCGGCCGGTAACCTCGGCAGGCAGGGCGGCCAGCGCGCGCAACGCCTCGGCCCGACAGGCGGCCTCCTCCCCCTCCAGCGCCTGCGCCGGCCAGCGAAACGCGGACGGACGTCAGTTACACAGACATACGGACGGACGTCAGTAACACCGATACACGTACCGACGTCAGTAACACCGACACACGTACGGACGTCAGTGACACCGATACACGTACGGACGTCAGCCACACCGACACACGTACGGACGTCAGTCACACCGACACAAGGACGGACGTCAGTCATACAGACACACGGACGGACGTCAGTCACACAGACACACGGACGGACGTCAGTCACACAGACACACGGACGGACGTCAGTAACACCGACGCACGGACGGAAGTCAGTAACATCGACACAAGGACGGACGTCAGTCACACAGACACACGGACGGACGTCAGTCACACAGACACACGGACGGACGTCAGTAACACCGACGCACGGACGGAAGTCAGTAACACCGACACAAGGACGGACGTCAGTCACACAGACACACGGACGGACGTCAGTAACACCGACGCACGGACGGACGTCAGTCACACCGACACAAGGACGGACGTCAGTCACACAGACACACGGACGGATGTCAGTCACACAGACACACGGACGGACGTCAGTCACACAGACACACGGACGGACGTCAGTAACACCGACGCACGGATGGACGTCAGTCACACCGACACAAGGACGGACGTCAGTCACACAGACACACGGACGGACGTCAGTCACACCGACACAAGGACGGACGTCAGTCACACAGACACACGGACGGACGTCAGTCACACAGACACACGGACGGACGTCATTGAGCTGGGTGCGATCTCCGACAGGACATGGGGATAAAGTGACGCCACGGGTGCATCGCAACGGCCCCACGGGACGCGTCAGTAGCCTGGACTGACTCTGGCGTCAGAAATCAGGCTCACGTTACTCATCCACACGTGTGACCAGTTACAGGAGGTACGTCTGTCAGGCGGTCTGTCACGACACACTGGCGGTCTGTCAGGCAGTCTGTCGCGGCACACTGGCGGTCCGTCACGCGGTCTGTCGCGGCACACTGGCGGTCCGTCACGCGGTCTGTCGCGGCACACTGGCGGTCTGTGAGGCGGTCTGACGCGGTGCACTGAGTCTGGACTGGGCATAGGGGGCCGGCAAGACCTTCGAACTGTGCCGTGTACCTGTGGCGCGGCCGCTAGCAGGCCCGGCCGACACCGCGGTCTGACTTACACCCGTTTTCAGCGGGCCCTCGATGTAGCCCATAACTTGGCAGTGCAGTGCGCAACAGTATACGGCAGGTGCATGACATAACGATACATGACAGCATACATCATGACATAGCAATGCAGCGCATATTTCGAAACTTTAGCGACGGATATGATGCCACATCGTCACAGGCCCTGAACCTGCCACGTCACTCTGGCGAGCCAACGGAAAACATTTGTCGGTGGCGGGTCTTGAACCGGCGCTGTCCCCGCCGCGGCCAGCTGACTGGCGCGGCAGGTGGCAGACTGCACCTGTTTGAGCAGGGCCGGCAGGGCGGCCTCCGAGCGTAGGTTGCGGAGGGCGCGCAGGTGCGCCAGGCAGCACGACTCGTCCTCGCACTCATCCAGCGCCGACACCAGCTGGCCTGAGAGCTGGTCACACACCTGGCGGCGGAGGGAGACGCGGCGTCAGCAGCGGAGGGAGACACGGCATCAACGGTAGACAGAGACGCAGTGTCAGCGGCGGAGAGAGACGCGGCGTCAACAGCGGAGGGAGACACGGCGTCAGCGGCGGAGGGAGACGCGGCATCAACGGCAAACAGAGACGCAGCATCAGCGGCGGAGGGAGACGCGGAGTTAGCGGCGGAGGGAGACACGGCGTCAGCGGCGGAGGGAGACGCGGCGTCAGCGGCGGGGGGAGACGCGGCGTCAGCGGCGGAGGGAGACGCGGCGTCAGCGGCGGAAGGGGACGCGGCATCAGCGGCGGAGGGAGACGCGGCGTCAGCGGCGGAGGGAGACGCGGCGTCAGCGGCGGAAGGGGACGCAGCATCAGCGGCGGAGGGAGACGCGGCGTCAGCGGCGGAGGGAGACACGGCGTCAGCGGCGGAGGGAGACGCGGCGTCAGCGGCGGAGGGAGACACGGCGTCAGCGGCGGAGGGAGACGCGGCGTCAGCGGCGGAGGGAGACACGGCGTCAGCGGCGGAGGGAGACGCGGCGTTAGCGGCGGTGGGAGACACGGCGTCAACGTCGGAACGGGACGTGGCATCAGCGGCGGAGGGAGACGCGGCGTCAGCGGCGGAGGAAGACACGGCGTCAACGTCGTCGACAGCGCGCGTCGAACAGCCAGGGCTACCATGCAGACCGGCGGGACCGACTGTTCAGCAGCCAGCTCGGAACAACCGCGCAATATTTGTGCAAATTCTAGACGCATGTTTTGCAGATATGTCTTTGAGATGCTGCCAAACAGAGCTTTAGCGAGGCCGCCAACAGTGACTCCATCCTGCACTGACGCTGACCGGCACCGACGAGCCCCAGAGTCAACCAGAGTCCCAGACAGCTCGCGAATAACCGGCACTGACTGTCACCAGGGGCGCGGCTGCTGGGGCCCGAGTCCACGTGACCGCCACCCCCGTTTAACCCCACGTCAGCGTGGCACGCTGTCACGTGCTGTAGTAGTTGGCCTTGGATGCTATTAGTGTGCTAGCGTGCCCCACATAGCACCAACGAGCAGCAGCTACGGCCGTGCCGCACGACATGCACAAGTTTCCAACGGCAGTCCAGGCGAGTGATGGCTTGACGCACGCTCCCGCCGCCGAATATACCACCGGACGGGAGGTTCAGCACACGCCACCGCCCACACACACGGCCGGCCGACTGTGGAGCGGCACGACACGAGCTCGCCACAACAGGCCGTATGAGTCCTACTTTGGCTGGCCACCTGGGCTCTGGGGAGCACTGACTGTCCGCCGGTCACACGGCGGCCGTGAGTCCTGCTTTGGCTGGCCACCTGGGCTCTGGGGAGCACTGACTGTCCGCCGGTCACACGGCGGCCGTGAGTCCTGCTTTGGCTGGCCACCTGGGCTCTGGGGAGCACTGACTGTCCGCCGGTCACACGGCGGCCGTGAGTCCTGCTTTGGCTGGCCACCTGGGCTCTGGGGCGCACTGACTGTCCGCCGGTCACACGGCGGCCGTGAGCCCTGCTCTGGACGGCGGCCGCTGCCTCCGTGACCTCCATCGGCCGGGCCCCAGCAGTCACGTGTCGGCCGGCAGGGCAAGATTCGGCCGATAACAGCGCGGCCGGAGGGCCCGCCGACACGTGCCGTGAGCACGCCACCGCCCCCGGCCACCACTGCTAACAGCTTGACCAGCCACTTACGGGCGCCAAAGGCCGCGTCTTTGAGACAGGGCGAGGAGCAAGGCAGGAAAGGACGGGGGGGGGGGGGGAGCAAGGCAGGGAGGGACAGGACGGGGACAAAGACAAGAAGGAACGGGGCAAGGAGAAAGACAAGAAGGGACAGGGCGGGGAGCAAGACAGGAAAGGACGGGGGGGGGGGGGGGGGCAAGGCAGGGAGGGACAGGACGGGGACAAAGACAAGAAGGAACGGGGCAAGGAGAAAGACAAGAAGAGACAGGGCGAGGAGCAAGGCAGGAAAGGACAGGGCGGGGAGGTCGGCAGGCTGCGTCGCGCAACGAGCGAAGGACGACACAGCCTCCCCCCGTCCCCAGCTGCACAGAGGCGCTCGTGAATGTGAACTTAGAAGGAAGCATCGTATGAATGATACGGCAGACGCGGAACGCGCACACTTCTGACCTACCGGGGGAGACACGGCACGCAATGTCACGTACATCACGTGCCGACTTGCACGGGGCACATGACATACACGACACGACATGACACATGACATACACGGCACGACATGCCACATACCATACACGACACGACATGCCACATGACATACACGGCACGCCATGACATACACGACACGACATGACAAATACTGTACACGACACGACATGACACACACGGCACGACATGCCACATGACATACACGGCACGACATGACACATGGCATACACGACATGACACATGACACACGATACGATATGACACATGACATACACGACACATCAAAACACACGACATACATGAAACGACATAACACATGACATACGTGATAAGCGCGAGGCACAAGGAAACACGGGAGACCAGGTCACAGACAAGAGACACAAGAATAAGGACAAGAGAAAACAGGAGGACCAGGACAAGAGACAATCGGGCGTGGAGACAAAGTCCAGGCCGATTCTGAAGACCTGAGCAGTCATCAGACCTGCCGGCGGTGCCATCACACCTGCACCCATACCTGCTCGCTGCCGGCCGTGTGATGGCAGAGGGTGGCCGCCAGGGCGGCGCTGGTGAGCAGGATGCTCTCGTGCAGACTGTCCGAGGGGTGCGTCTTGCCGCTCTCGCGGATCATGTCTGCAACACGGCGCGCCGTCAGCAACGGTCAGAGGTCAGCTCAACAGAGATCAGCAGAGCGGTCAGAGGATAGCAGAGATCGTCAACGGAGGTCACAGGCTCCATCAGACATGCAGTGATGACCCCGTGACCTCTGTGACCTCTGTGATAGTCACCAGAGACGTCACCCGAGTAGCGGAGGGGCGAACGCCGGTGATTCTCAACCCCGGGCGTCACCGGTGCGGTCCGACAGCGGTCACCACAGGGCGGCGCCACCGCCGCCGACCAACGGCACCACCCGCACCACCAGCGGTCACCACAGGGCGGCGCCACCCGCCGACGGCACACCCGCGCCACATGGCGGCGCACCGCGCCGACCACGGCACCACCGCACCACCAGCGGTCACCACAGGGCGGCGCCACCGCCGCCGACCAAGCCCACCGCCCCCAGTCACCACACCGCCCCCGCCACCAGGCACACCGCACACCCGGTCACCACAGGGCGGCGCCACCGCCGCCGACCAACGGCACCACCCGCACCACCAGCGGTCACACGCACACCGCCGGCGCCACCCGCCCACGCCCAACCGGCACCACCCACACCCGCACCACCAGCGGTCACCACGGCGGCGCACGCCGCCGACAACGCACCACCGCACACAACGGTCACCACAGGGGCCCACCGCGCCGACCAACGGCACCACCGCCCACAGCGGTCACCACAGGGCGGCGCCACCGCCGCCGACCAACGGCACCACCCGCACCACCAGCGGTCACCACAGGGCGGCGCCACCGCCGCCGACCAACGGCACCACCCGCACCACCAGCGGTCACCACAGGGCGGCGCCACCGCCGCCGACCAACGGCACCACCCGCACCACCAGCGGAGAGTCGTCAGAGGACGTCATGGCTACAAGTCGTCGACTCCGTCACTCCGTGGCGCCCGATGGCACACCAGCCCGTTCCCGCCCTCCCCCTCTCTCCTGCGCTGGTCCTCTCCCGAGGCGGCCCGGACCTCGGCGGGCTTCGCCGGTCGCCACCGGCGCTCGCGTCCTCACCCTGGACCAGCTCCCGCGGCGGGTGAGCACCCACCGACAGCGCCACCAGGTAGCGCTCCTGGCGCTCGATGGAGCCGCTCGTGCGCCAGCTGAGCGTCTGGCGCACCGCCTTGTGGACGGCCATAGTCTGGGCGGCGCCGGCCGCGTCCAGCAGCGCCAACCTGCCGCACGCGGGGGTGTCAGCGGAGGGAACGGAGGGGGGGGGGGGGGGCTCCCGACAGCAGAGGCATCTGGCGGCGTTGATTCATGTCCAAGGCCTTCCCCACAACACACGCCGCTCCCCGAGCCGCAGCGTTCGTCATCATCATCACCACCACCACCACCATCATCATCATCATCATTATCAACAACCACATTATCATCGGCATCATGATTGTGCGTTAGAGCCGCCGCCACTCACATGATGTCCCGGTTGCGAGCGTCGTTGAGCACGGAGGCCACCTGAGCCTCTGTGGCGGCCCGGAGCCGGGGCACCAGGGCCACGACGGCGCGCGCCGCAGCCAGCGAGGCCACGCCCGACTCCGAGAGGCCCCGGCGCAGCTCCGACACCAGCTCTGACAGCTGCCGACAGGGTCAGGTCAGGTCAGGTCAGGTCAGGTCGGAGTCCGGCGGCGGTCCGACACTCGGTCAGAGTTCAGCAGCAGGCCCGGTGTGCCCGGACCGGCGGGCGGAGCACGCGTCACCGAATCACGCCCACACCATCAAACGCCCCAGGTAACATCACCGGCCACCGCGCCGGCCCGCTCAGCCACCCCGCTCCCGCGCCGCCGCCTCTGCGGCCGGCCGGGCCCGGCGGCGGCGGCCGGCTCACCTTGGGACAGCCGTCAGCGCTGCACCCCTGAGGCGCGGCCGGGCCCGGCAGGGGGGCCGGCTGCGGCTCCCAGCCGAGCCGCTCCGACAGCAGCGACACCGCCTGCTCCGCCGAGCCGGCGGACACGGCCGGTGCCGACCGCGACGAGCCTGAGGTCAGGTCAGGTCAGAACAGATAGCCCGCCTCACTGAGCCGGCAGGTACAACCGGCAGCCTATCACGGGCATTCACAAAGGCATCTGCACATGCTACTTTGTGCACTCATGTCACTATGCATATTTCGCACGCCCACAAACGTGCATATGGCCCACACCATACACATAGGCAACACACACGATTATAACAAGCGTGTACAGCACACAAACACACACGGCCCACCCAGTCTACAGTACATCCCGTCTACGCGCGTAACGCACGAGCACACACAGATCCCTGTCACCGAGCGGCGGCGGGCGGCGTCTCCCTGCCCCGGCGGCCGGCGGGGTCTCCCCGCCCCGGCGACTGACCTGTGACCTGCAGCGCCTGCAGGGCGGCCACCTCTGTGCCGTAGCCGCCGCGGACGGCCGGCGTCAGCTGGTGACGCTCCTCAGAGGAGGAGGATTCCAGCCGCGAGCCGCCGCCCGCCGAGAACGCGAACCGGGTCTCGCGCACCGACGTTACAGACACGTCCAGCACCTGCGGCGGCGGGGTCAGAGGTCACAGACACGTCCATCACCTGCCGCGGGGTCAGAGGTCACAGACACGTCCAGCACCTGCCGCGGGATCAGAGGTCACAGACACGACCAGCACCTGCCGCGGGATCAGAGGTCACAGACACCACCAGCACCTGCCGCGGGATCAGAGGTCACAGACACGTCCAGCACCTGCCGCGGGATCAGAGGTCACAGACACGTCCAGCACCTGCCGCGGGGTCAGAGGTTACAGACACGACCAGCACCTGCCGCGAGATCAGAGGTCACAGACACGTCCAGCACCTGCCGCGGGGTCAGAGGTCACAGACACGTCCATCACCTGCTGCGGGGTCAGAGGTCACAGACACGTCCAGCACCTGCCGCGGGATCAGAGGTCACAGACACGACCAGCACCTGCCGCGGGGTCAGAGGTTACAGACACGACCAGCACCTGCCGCGGGATCAGAGGTCACAGACACGTCCAGCACCTGCCACGGGATCAGAGGTCACAGACACGACCAGCACCTGCCGCGGGATCAGAGGTCACAGACACGTCCAGCACCTGCCGTGGGATCAGAGGTCACAGACACGACCAGCACCTGCGGCGTCGGAGTCAGAGATCACAGACACGTCCATCACCTGCCGCGGGGTCAGAGGTTACAGACACGTCCAGCACCTGCCGCGAGATCAGAGGTCACAGACGCGTCCAGTACCTCCGGCGGGGTAACGGCAGAAGGGCTCAGATCATCATGGGTGATGGGGCCATGGTTCCGGTTCTATGGTCGGTTATCAACATTGGTTGTGCCGACACAGGACCTTGATATGCTGCAGCTTGCAGGCTCGATAACTAGAACCGGAAAGCAACATCTCCGAAGTCAACTGTTTCCCACACGTTTGGCAGTCACAGCGAATCGCAAATGCAGCCCACGGATCGGCAGGAACACAGCACCAGCAGGCTGCGGCCCGCAGCGTCCGTCCGGCCACCAGCACCAGCACCAGCACCAGCGCTCACTTACCCGGTGACTGGCCGTGTGGACGGGCGCCGCCGCCTCGCAGCGCTCCTTGGTCTTCACCAGCGTGAGCGGCCCGTCCCAGCGGTACGTGACGTCACAGGCGCCCGAGGCGTCCGTCTCGCGGTACTGCCGGAGGACGGGTGACGTCACTCTCAGCGGACGGTGACGTCAGACCGCCCGCCGCCGGCGCGGGGATCGGCCGGCGGCGGCGGCGGGAGGGGTTTTCTCTGGGGTCACGACATACCGATCGGTGCCGCAGGGCAAACATTCGGAGCTACGGCGTCACGTGACCAGGGGCGGGGGAGTGATGCACCTCGTGCAGCGGCTGTGATCGCAGTCACAGCGGCACTAAACCACGGCCATTTTCCAATGACAAGACAAGTGAGACGCCGCGGCCCATTTCCCCTCTGAACAGTTGACTTCGAAAGCAGCGAACAGTCCAGCGAGAGAGCAACTGTGAGAGGACTGACTGGAAGAGAAGCACGGAAGCTGCTGAGTACGCCGGGGACGATCTGTCCTCTGTCCCCTGCCAACCGAGCAGCGGGGGCAAAACAAAGAAGCGAAACTCGTGCTGGCTTCCGCTCAGGCCACTGATCTGAGCTGGAGACCCACACAACCATCATCCTCATTTACCCCCGGCCAAGACCATCTAACCCCTCCATTTCCCCAGCTAACTGAGAAATCGATCAAAACCCTTCCATTCCCAAAGAAATATCGTCCCTCAGCACTAAGACAAAGACCCTCCTTCCTACTGGTTCTGACCCGAACAACCACCTGCCCGTCACCCCTGACCCCGACACCCACCTGTTCCTCACCCTTGACCCCGACACCCGCCTGTCCCTTATCTCTGACCCTGACACCCACCTGTCCCTCACCCCTGGCCCGACACCCACCTGTCCCTCTGCTCTGAGCCGCAGCAGACCGACCAGGCCACGCGCCAGGTTGGCCGTCTGCTCGTCCAGCTGGGGGTGGCGCCAGAGCCGCGGCGGCGCGCCGGCCGGGCCGCCGGTCAGCACCAGCAGTGGCTGCGCCGGCGCCGCCTCCAGCAGGGAGCCGTGCGCGGCGAACCCGTCCGGCTGAGGCGCGCGCCGCGAGCGCACCAGCAACTGCGGCGAGCTCACCTGGCGGCAGCGGAGCGCGGCGGGGCGCCGGTCACACGCCGGCCCGAGCTGGGCCCAGGGGGAGGGGATGGGGGCGGGGGCTGCAGATGGGAGGGAGAGAGCGGCTCAGGTGAGTGAGACCGCGGTTCATGTGGAGAGGAAGAAGAAATCCCTCTTGGGCAGTGCCCTCTTGCAGACAGGTAAGAGGGGTGCGGGTAGGGAAGATGAAGGTGCACGTGGGGAAGTGGAGTGCATGTGTGGAGAGGGGAAGGGTGCATGCGGGGAAGGGGTGCAGGCGGGGAAGGGACATATTATGAGTGGGCGACAAGAGACGGACTACGGGTGGTTATTCGACGAGGAATAAGGCTAACAGTACCGTCCTATTGATAGCTGATGACATTTGAACCGCAGACAGGCCGAGGCGCGGCAGGCGCTGCTCGCTCAGCAGGTCAGTTACACGCACACCAGAGTCGACGAACGGCTCGAGCTTCGCGTTTGGTTGCGGTGAGCTGCATTCGACCGTGGACGGACTGCACACGGCCGAGACGGATGCCAGACGCGCCTGAGCCCGGACGGGCGGGCCTCGTGTTAGCGCAGCTGGGCCGCGGGCGGCACACGCGTCGATGCGGGTTACACAGCTGGAGCTGTTCAACAGGGGCGCTTGGTCCCGGCAGGAGCTGACAAAGGAGGGGAAAACGGCTGAAGCAGCGCCGGAAACGGGTCAGAGGAAGCCAAACGCCCCAGGCACGTGGGTTAAGGGTGACCTGGTATATTACTAGAGGACGCGCCTTACGTTTTGATGCCGGCTCAACACCTAACCACAAGAGACGCGTGCTGGCTTTCAGAGACGCTGAAGGTGGTCAAGGCCGGGTGGATCGACCCAGGCATAGACGATGTGCGTAAGGAACATCGTGCTGGCAACATCGGCACACCTGCCCATTAACGGTGCAGTCTAATGTGTCGTCCACACCGGAACACCTGTGACACATTGGTCAGATAACAAGGCGAACAAACGTGCACGTGATCTTAAACCAAACGCAGTACATCCGAATCCGTTAAAGGTAACGGAGAATCGATGAAACGTTGCTGAACAAATCCGATTGGATATCCCCTGGCGATCATGGACGAGAAAGCACTGTCTTCGAATGATACGCAGAGACACGACCCGTCTCCAGGTGTCGTGCAAACGGATCTGTCTCACGAGAACGTTCAGCTTCGAATGACGTCACCAGGGGACAAAACACGCCGAGCTGCCATATGGCGGCGGACCCACCGTCAGCATGATCAGCTGCTGGCCGTCGTCTTCCGGGTGCTGCCATATGACCGAGCACTCTGCGTCGGCCAAGATTTGGTAGCCCACATCCTTAACGCCCCCGGGCGCCGCCTGCCGCAGCTCACTCAGCAGTACGGTGGTGTTGTAGGCCAGGGTGTACGTCACACCCAGCTCCAGACCGCCGCCGGCTGCCGGCCAGGTCAGGATAGGTCAGGTCAGGTCAGGTCAGGTCACGGGGCGCTAGAGCGGACGCGGGTCACCAGATCTGTCCACCGTAGGTTGGGCGGAGAAAAATACACCGCAACAGTGTCACCAGGTCAGGTCAGGCCGAGTATCACCACGTCGGATCAGGTCAGATCGGGCCACATCACGTCGGGTCAGGTCGGTTCAGGTCGGGTCGGGCCATGCCAGGTCGGGTCAGGTCGGTTCGGACAATGTCAGGTCAGGTCAGGTCAGGTCGGGCCATGCCATGCCATGTCAGGTCAGGTCGGGCCATACCATGTCAGGTCAGGTCAGGTCGGGTCAGGTCAGATCGGTAGCAGACAGCGTCCGGGCTTGCACGTCTCCTGTATGAGCTCACAGTTTAGAGAAACTCGGTGTGCAACAGCCGCAGAAACTGCCACTGGCCAGCCGGCTACAATTACACAGAATGTCACGGCTCATAACAGTCAACTGGCGCTGCAAGCACTGGATGGGACTGCACGCTTTCACCGAGCACCGACGGCACCAAGGATCGCCAGCATTGGGGGCAGCAGCCAGCGGGGGGGGGGGGGTAACCGCGTGGTAGGGGGTGGGGGGTGGGGCGGAAGTCCTTCCCGGTGACACGAAAACGCGTCGATTCCCATCTTGATTCCGCTGAGGTCACAACCCGCCATCAGCGGCGCGTGAGAATGGTGGATCTCATCAGCCGCGCTGATCAACCCGACAGACCAGTCACCAGCGCGGCGACTGGAGGTCGAGCCCCGCCGGCCCGCCCGTCCCCAGCCGCAGCACCTGCAGCGACTGGAGGTCGAGCCCCGCCGGCCCGCCCGTCCCCAGCCGCAGCACCTGCAGCGACTGGAGGTCCAGCCCCGCCGGCCCACCCGTCCCCAGCCGCAGCACCTACAGCGACTGGAGATCCAGCCCCGCCGGCCCACCCGTCCCCAGTCGCAGCACCTACAGCGACTGGAGGTCCAGCCCTGCCGGCCCGCCCGTCCCCAGCCGCAGCACCTACAGCGCATGGCCGGCATGGCGCGCGGTGACGTCAGCAGGAGTGACGTCACCGCCAGTGACGTGACCAGGCGGCGGGCGGCCGGCGTCATGTGTCGACCGACAGTCGGCGGTCGCTGATGTCCAGAGGTCAGCGCAGGTCCGGCCGGGTCAGCGCCGCAGCCGGCGACCGACACATTCTTGCATGCGGGACGGGCCGCCGGTGGCGCGAGCTACGCGTGCTGGCCGCTCCAACACCACAGGCGGCGCGGGCGTCACACACCACGAGCCGCCCGCCGTCCGCTCAGCCCAGCTCCGTCGGCTGCCGCGCCGCTCAGCCCGGCTCCGTCGGCTGCCGCGCCGCTCAGCCCGGCTCCGTCGGCTGCCGCGCCGCGCCGCGCCGCTGCTAGGAGCCGCCGCGCGCGGCGGGTCTCCGAGCCGGCTGGCCGCCGCCGTGCAGCCGTTCGCTCCGGCCGCGTCACGGTCCAGCGCGCCGCCGCCGCCGCCGCCGCCGACCCCGGCGCGTCTCCGCCGACCCCGGCACGCACGCCACGCGCGCCGGCCCGCCCGGGCCCGGCGGGCGGCAGCTGGCTCGAGCCGCCCGCGACTGCGGCACGGCACCGGCGCCCGGTCAGCGCCGCGGTCCCGCCAGAGACGCCGCCGCTGCTCCCCACACTCCGTCCGGACCACGCGCTTCGGAGGACGCGGCTCTCCCCGCGACGTCGCGGCTCTCACCG